AGTGCATTAAATGAACATTTAATGCAATATGGTAGGGTTAGAGTGCGTGTCAAGCCTTAAGAGGAAGGCTTGTCATTTGCTACAGTGAATAGTACAAAAAGCACTATTCATGAGCAGACATCCTTACTTAAAGTTGGTGGACAAAAAGTCTACAAGTCGGCTCCGTACCATACTAACTTTCATAAAGGTATGGGTTTTGTCCTTTGCATGCATAAGGACAAGACAACAACAATCATGCTAAGCAAGCTCCCTTTGATCGCTGAATGCTAGAATGACCTGAAGGTCTCATCATCATTCACAAAGCTTGAGCAGTCTTCACACATATGTAGACATGCTTGTAATCACTGAATACCGTTTCAGATCACGTACTCGCCAGTCTCTAATCTTCAGTTTCAGTCTTCAACGTTTGCTGAAGGTTCTTTGGTGTGAGTGTTGTCTTCTTAAAGTATTGCTGTCTTTGATAGATTTAAAGTGCAAGTTCTTCAGCGATCACAGAACATACTCAGTGAAGATCGCTGGAATTGAAAATACAAAAACATAAATACAACGTATAAGTAAAAGGGATTATCATCAAATCACTTGAGAGAGAGGATCAACAACTATGATGGTCAATAGGTTTCAGCGAGTATCCGAGTTCCATCTCTGCCTTATAGATCACTTATAATATCTAAGGACTTGGATAAATGAAGATCTACTTGGAGAGATGATGAAGCACAAGATCAACTTCAACAATCTAGATTAGACGTCCTTTCTGTCTTGTAATATCTTTTATTTCGTTTCTTTTTTTTCAGTGTATAATCATTATGTCTTAGGTCTACCAATGTTGATTGTAATAACTTGTAATATTTTCTTTTGAAAGATATTCAATAAAATGATCAGTTCACTGAATAAGATCCCTGAAAAGAGTAAATGGACATGTACCTATGAGTTATGTTTATGTCTTACATTCACTGACACCTTTTTAGTCAGTGAACATGCTTTCATTTTTCAGTTATTAATATTGTGCGAATTTAATTTTTCCTTGTAATCCTTTATAACTTAAGTAAATTTACATAGTAAACTGTATCACTAAAAAAGATCCCAAAACAGTTAAAAGGGACAAGTATTTTACTAGTACATTTTCCTTACTGATATTACTTAGCAATTTTATTTATGTTGCTTTGTTATCATCAAATAGAGAGAGATTGTTGATCCTCTCTCTCACAGTTATTTGATGATGATCCCTTTTACCTTACGAAGTATATTATCTTTGTACTTAGTTTCAACGATCATCAATGAGTTTGCTCAGTGATTGCTGAACATGTATTGTAAATTCGTTCATAGACCAATATCCTTCAAGAAGACAAAACTCACACCACAGATCCTTCAGCGATATTGAAGAAGCTGAAGATTAGAGACCAGCAAGTTCGTGATTTGAAGCGGTTTTTAGTGATAACAAGCTCGTTTACACAAGTGTGAAATCTACACAAGATTCAGCGAACACTGATGAAACCTTCAAAGTCATTCCAGTGTTCAGCGATCAAATGAATATTGTCAAGAAAGATTTGTTTTTGACTTGTCTTTCTGCACATAAAGGACAAACCCATACCTCTAAAGTAAAGTATATTACGGAGTCACTCTATTATCCCCAAGTGTGCTATTACCACGAGCAAACATATTAATGACGAGGAACACATTTTTATTATAGGTAATCGTGATGAATAGTCACCGACTTTGGATTCCTCACTTCTTTCTCTCATTCAAAATCGTGCATGAGACTTGAAGACTGTTCATATACGGCCAAATGATTATATACCAGCAACAAAGGACAAGCCCTCCTCTAAGAGCTTGCCACATGCTTTTTACCTTCTGAATTGCATTTAATGCAATGGGTATAAATAACTGAATAGTTATCTCTTCTCAATTAATATTTTGAATCTCATAATCCAAGCATCCTTGCTTTGAAGATCTTACCTAAGAAGATACTTCTCTCTCTACTCTCTATCTAAGAGAAAGACCCACTGTAACAAGTGAAGAGCACATTACTTCTTAACCTATTTCTTGTAGAAAGTCTTTTCTTCTTGCTATGTGTGTATCTTTGATTGTTTAGATAGGTTTTGTATCCTATCTCTTCCGCAAATAATATGTAAAAATCTGTATCGATCTTCTTTATCAATATATATTTTTTAAAAGTGAAAACTGATGTGTTCTTATTCACCCCCCTTCTACAAACTGTTACTTATAAACTCTTATAGATCCGATTGGGACCAATAAACCTAAAGGTAGCGTTTGGTATGCAAATGTAATTGGACAGGACTGGACAGGACATGATAAGAGGGTAGGACTAGACAGGACACAACTAGACGGAACAAGACTGGACATAACAGGAGTATGTCTAGTGTTTGGTACGACTAGGACTGGACGTGACAAAACTAGACAAACTACCCCCAAAAGTTATTTGATGATTTTAAATATTATATAGTAGTTATAATTAACACAAATAAAGTAAATAATTTAATAATTTAATTTATAAATATTTGTACATAATTTTCATATTTGTACCAAATTTGAATGAAAATTTTGATATAATTGATGGTAGGTGGTGGTGGTTTTGGTCATGGTGGAGGTGGTGGTGGCCGACGGTAGTAGTGGCAATGGACGGTGGTGGTCGGTGGCCGACGGTAGTAGTGGCAACGGGCGATGGTGGTCGGTGGCCGACAGTGGTTATGGAGGTAGAGACAGTGGTGCTTGGTGGACGACGGTGGTTATAGAGGACATGAAGATGGTAGATTGTGGTGGTGGTGGCGGTTGACAACGGTGGAGGAGGTAGTTGTGGTTGATGTAGTGAAGATAGTGGTGGTGGTGGTTATGGTGGATGTGAGGTGGCAATGAATGGTGGTGACCGATGGTGGTCGTGGAGGTCATAGAGGAGGTTGTTGAAGTAGATGAGGAGTTGAAGGTGGCGAATGATGGTAGTGGTGGTGGCAATGCATGGTGGTGGTCGGTGGTCGATGGTCGACTATGGTAGATGTGGTAATGGACTTGGTGAATGGTGGTTGTGGAGGCGGTGGAGGATGTTGTTGTAGTGGAAGAGGAGGTGGAGGTGGCCGTCGATGACCGCCAGTAGTGGTGGTGGCGGCCGAAACTAGCGGTGATAACTATTAAAACAAATACCATATTAAGGTTATATATCAAACTAGGGTAGATTAGTAATATGTTAGTTTTGGTCCCATTCTTGTCCCATATTGTTCCACCTATTGAAAAACCCTCTTTTGTTCCATGCTGTCCCACCTTGTCCTAGTTCTTGTCCCTGACCCATGTGGCGCCAAACGTGGGACAGTGAGTTCTTGTTCTGTCCCATGCTGCGCCAAACGTGGGACAGTGAGTTCTTGTTCTGTCCCATGTTGCGCTAAACATGGGACAATGTGTTTTGTCCCATCCTGTTCTGTCCCGTCCCGTCCCATGTACCAAACACAGCCAAATAGAATTCATCCTATTAGTCCTTTTTATATGTCAATTCTTAAAAAATACCATATGAAAATGTTATAAAAACCAAATTTTGTTGTGGCAAGTTAAAAAGTTTAGAAGCGTAGGAGTTGGTTCTCTCATCGTCATCTCAAGGCTTTTCTGAAAATTTCGTAAATAAGTTTGGTACCCAAACGCGTAATAAGTTTTCTATGTGTGTCGAAAGTCAATTAGTAAAAAGATAGGAAAAAGATAGGAAAAAGACTTAACATGTTTGGAAGGACAGTATTATGAAAAACGTACCACGAAACGCAAGTCTAGTATACAAACACATGGTTTTTTTCTACCATAAGCATAAAATATCCAATGGCCACATTTCTGGTGCAAAAAATGCAAAAAACATTAAATATGAAAACTACGTTTGAAAAGTTCTAATGGTGTTTGTTACGACATCGATGATAACAACCTATCATCATATATTGTAAGAGGAAATAAATTAGAGAAAATTACATCAAAATGAAATATAATTTTTTTTGGCATATATAATATTTGTATATAACAAATACTCATGAATTTATTTCATTACCTCTTAAGAGGTTGGGTATTACCAATAGCCCAAGTACCGCAGGACCAACAACGCTTTGGTAGGAATGTTCTTTGTTCCAATTGCTATTTTAGACAACTTATTTTAAAAAGCTGTATTTTGGTGTTTACAAAAATACATCTTAAATAAGAAAGTTTATTAATTTGTTTTTTTTAAAAAGGAATTTTTGATACTAAATAATACTAATACGTTTTTTTTTCACTAGGTCACAATATGTTATTTTATTCCAATAAAAACTTAATATATTGCCTTAATTACATTAAAAACAAAATAACGAGACGAAAAGATTGTTACATTTTGACGCACAATTTGCCCATTAAATAAATAACCCTAAGATCAATCTTTCATCGATTTAGAAAAATATAATTGTATGAAATCTTACGCAACAAATAATGTTGTTCCTCAATATACATGTTCTGTTTGGCTAAGTTATATATATGTGACGCACGATTAGACTTTTTGACATAAGCTTTTATCAAACACAAAACGACATAACCAACATATCTTTATTGCTCAAAAAATGATTTGCGTAGGTTTTCTTCATTGTCAAACAAACGAGTCCTTAGCTATAATCGTATTTCAAACTTCTACACGAAAGACCCTAAATATTTTTGGTCAAACTTCAAAGGATCGCTAGATTAACTATAGTTTTTCAAGTAAAGGGACAAAAACTAAGTTCACAAGTTATACTTTTTCAGGCAAAAAGAAGTATTATTATTCTTATGTTCTTTTTCTGCATTTTTTTTGAAGAATCTTTATCTTCCTTTTGTACACTAATCATAAGTCAAAGGTATTTATAAAAACAACCGCTATATTCTTTAGGTGACATAAAAGTTAGATCTGCGTACATCTTACCTCCCCAGATCTGACATTCGTGTGAGATATATTGGGTTTGTTTGGTTTGTAGATCTTGCAATAACATGGATAAAAGTAATCACACAAAAAATTTCTACTAAGTCTGCTCCAATCGTAGGGCAAAAAGTATGATAGATGGAAAAAAAATATTAGGTTTCCATCAAGATAATTGAGGTTTAAGATAATATCGAAAACCAGGAAAATAACTTATCTATCAAATAATGTTATATCGTGGATGAGAAAACAATCGTCTTAAATGCAAAATTCGGCATGTGAGCATGGTTGTTCAAACACTCAATCATTACAATACGAACTGAAATAGTAAAAGAAACCCTAAACACTCTCTCAAAGAAGATGAAAGAAGATATGTTAAAACAAACTTCTTAGACGTCGGTCAAGCTAAAGAGAATATATATCGAGAAGTTTCTCTTTTAGCCCTTCAATAATAGTCATAATAACTCCGCTACCCTCTTAGAATCTTGACAGCTCCAATTAATCCTTCTTGATCAACAACTTAATATAATCAACTCCTTAAAATGAAAAATCTGAAATATAACACCAAAACCACATATAAATGACAAGATTGGATAAAATGCCTATTATATTTAACTTTCCCCCTCAATCTTGGCATTTAAATAAGTCAATCATCTTTAACTTTGAACATAAGTAATGATGTTGACTTATACTAAGAGATTTTATAAAAAGTATCAGCAAGTTGTTCAGAAGAAGGTATTTTTACGACTTTTATCACACCTGAATTAACCTTTTAACGAACTTGATGAATATCAATTTTTATATGTTTAGTACGTTCATAAAATAAATGATTATAAGCAATGTCTATGGCAAATTTGTTGTCACAATATAGATTTACAGGAATTAAATCTTGAATTCTCAAATTTGTTAAAATTTTAAGAACCCAAACTACTTCATAGGTGACAGAAGCCATTCATCTATATTCAGATTCAACAGAAGAGCGAGAAATAGTATTTTGTTTCTTACTTTTCTGAGAAACCATAGAATTTCGAAGAAACAAACAGTTCTGATAACAGAATGTCTAGAAAACAGACACTTACCCCAATCAACATCCACAAAAGCAGATAAGTGGAAAAAATCTGACCTTGTAAAGCTAATACCAGTGAAGACTTCAAGTATCCGAGTACCCTTAAAGACAGTTTAAGATGTGACTCACCAGGAGAGTTCATACACTGAATTAAACATTGAACTGCAAAGGCTATGTCAGGTCTAGTAGCAAGAATATATATTAACCTACCAATCAATTTTTGATATCCTGTATAATCATGTAATGAAGGATCATTGAAACAATTCCAACTGAATCAATAAAGCAAGATTCATATCCATAGGAGTGTTAAAAGGTTTGCATCCAAGATATCTAAAGTCATTTAGAAAGTCTAGACAATATTTTCTTTGATACATACATATACCATTTTCAAAATCAAGAACTTCAATTCCTAAGAAATTTTTTAATTTTCCAAGATACTTAATCAAAAAATTAGTCTTAAAACAGTTTTGACTTTGTCAATTTCCAACAAATTATTCCCAGTCAAAACAATAGCATCAACATATACTAATAGAATAACAAACCCAGATTCACTATATTTGATAAAGAAGGAATAGTAATTACTTTGAGTAAACCCATTAGAGACAAGCCATGATGACAACTTAGCATACCACTAACGTGGAGCCTGTTTTAAACCGTAAAGAGACTTTACAAGTTTACAGACTCTTTTATCATTAGAATTAAAATATCCTTTAGGTAAAGTCATAGAAACATCTTCAAATAAATCACCATACAAGAAAGCATTATTAACATCTAGTTGGAATAATGACCAAATATTTTGAACAACAAGAGTTATAATGCACCTAAAAGTAACTATTTTTACAACATGGGAAAATGTTTCTTCATAATGAAGTCCTCTCTCTAACTGTACCCTTTAGGAACAAAGCGAGCTTTATTCCTTTCTATTTCTCCAGAGGATTTATACTTGATTTTAAAATCCATTTACATCCTATAGATTTTCTTCCTATAGGTAAATCAGTAATTACCCAAGTTCCATTTCTATACAGAGATTCCATTTCATCATTCATAGCTACTATCCAATTCTTATCTTTACAAGCTTCTGAGAAGGTTTTTGGTTCAATGGATTTATTCAAATTTGATGTAAAATAGAAGTTTTCAGAACAAACATGAGTAATTCACAACTCTTTCTAACCCATATTTAACTTTTCCTTCTATAACAAAATCATCAAATCTATGAAGAAAATTTGAAGCTCTAGTCATCCTTCTAATGGATTTAGATGTTCCTTGATCATTAGAACTAGTGAAAGGACCCTCAAGGTGGAGACCAGAATTTTCAGCATTATGAGGGCCTTGGCGAGCATCCAAGGATTGCTCCCCAAGTTCAATATCATCTTTGGCAGCTGCCTCTGAGTTGCTTAGTGGTTGCAAATTGGTAGCTCCTTCATTATTTTTAGGTTGAAGAGTATTTATGCTACCTTGTTGCTGCCTACTGGCAGCTTAAGAGGGCTACTACCAAGAAAAGACTGCTCGTTACTTTCCTCCTGAGGAGGTTGATCTCGAGCCTCATCATTGTGAAGGGAACTTGAGGTATTAGTAAGAGAATCAAAAAAGTTTAAGAAATTTAATTCATTTGTAGTATGATAATCCATTTTATTTGAACTCATCTTAAATGGAAAAATATTTTCATAGAACCTTATATCATGAGATACGATTATTTTGTTTGTATCAAGACTAAATAACTTGTAACTCTTTTTTGAATTTTCATACCCTAAAAGAACACACTTTTCAGCTCTAGTAGAAAACCTATCAGTTACATTTGTCTTAGTGGCAAAACAGAGATGCCCAAAATTTCTTAGATGAATTAGAACAAGTTGGAAACCATACACAAGTTCACAAGGATATTTTCTTTTTAAAATAGAGGAAGGTGTTCTATTTATGAGATAGGTGGTAGTTAGAATACATTCACTCAACATGTTCAAAGATATACCACCTTGAAACATTAGAGCTCTAGCCATGTTTAACAAGTGACGATGTTTGCATTCCACAACCTCATTTTGTTGGGGAGTGTAAACACAAGACGCCTGAAGAATAATACCTTTATGTTTAAAAAAACTTACCCGATGTGAAATTAGTAAATTCAGTTCAATTATCATTTCTAAACACTTTAACATGACTGCCAAATTGAGTTTCTAATAAATTGCAAAACAATACAACATTATCAGTCACTTCATGTTTTCCTTTTAACAAATAAATCCACACAGCACGAGTATAGTCATCCACAATACTTAAAAAATACTTGAAGCCTTCCTTATTGGTTATCTTATAGGGAACCCAAACATCTAAATGAACGAGTTCACCAAGACATTTGGATTTATGATCACTTAAAGGAAATTTTTGTCTAGTTTGTTTTTCCATATGACAGATTTCACAAGGACTTAGACTGTTACTCTCAAGATTAAGTTGGCTCTTTAAAACAGATAAAACTTGGTCAGAAGGATGACCAAGATGACTAACCCACAATTGGGTTAACACACAACTTGTAATAGCAACATAAGTAGAAACATGAAAAGACTTACCCTTATTAAATTGATCAAAAAAATATAGACCCACCTTCTTGACTACCAGTCCCCACTATATTCTATTAAAGAGAATCCTGAACATAGCATCAAGACTCATCGAACCCAACAAACAGTTTATTATCTCTAGCAAGTTTATGAATACAGAAAAGATTGATATTAAATTCTAGAACCACCAAGACATCAAACAAAGTAACATTGTTTGACAATTTTAAATTCCCAATGTTATTTATTTTTGCCTCAGTTCCATTTGGGCGATTTATTTATAAATTTAAATCATATATGTCAACAACATTATCTAAGTTCAAAAAAACTAGATGTCATATGCTGATTAGCTCCAGAATCAATAATCCAACCAGTCCTATGAAAGTTAGACAAACCTGCCATTTTAGTACCCACTGTCTCAGATGGATTTTTTTGATCTAATAAGGCAAGAAGCTTAGCCACTTGTTCCTCAGAGAAGGGAGGTGTGGATGAACTGGAAAGTCTTCCTTTCCCATGAGAGTCTGTTACACAAACATTACTAGATAGGGATTTAAAACCTTGATTTGGAATTCTTGGTGCTCTGTTTTGAAAATATTTTGGAAAGACAATAAGTTTAAAACGTCTTTCAATTGTATGACTATACATACCACAGTGTTAGAAAAGTAAATTTGAAGGTTTACCTAATCTTTTCTTATTATCACTGACTCTGCTATAAAAAGCAGAGTTCTAGCTTTTATTTCCAAAGGACACACTATAACCTCCCAAATGAGACTCTTCCCTATATATCAGGGAAAGGGCAGTTTTAACAGAAGGAAGAGGATCCCTTGAAAGGATGTTACTTCTAATAGGTTGGTAGATACTGTCAAGACCCATTAAGAATTACATAAGCTTTATTAACTGACCGTGGTTAAAAAAAATCATTAGAAGCATTACAGGTACAAGTGGGAAGGGTGATAAGGGAATCAAATTGTTTTCATAAGGAATTGAGCTTATGATAGTATTCAGAAACATAGGAACCATTTTGACTTAAGCAATTAATTTTTTGGTAGAGGTTGAAGATAACAGATCCATCAACCTTATCATAAGTTTCTTTCAGTTCCTCCCAAACATTGGAAGAGTCTTTTGAAAAAACTTGACCAAGAAACAAATCCTCAGTGACATAACTTAAAATCCAACTTAGGACAACATAATTACACCCGTCCTATTGTTTTTGAAGAACAAGGTCATTATTAGGTCTAACCCACGTTCCATCAATAAAACCAAGTTTGTTCTTGGTTTTAAGGGCCAAGGTCATAGCACAAACCCATATTCTATAGTTGTCAATTCCATTTAATTTAAGATTTAAAATGGGGGTTCCACTGGTGTCACTAGGATGCAAATACAAGGGGTCCCCAAAGTCCAATTTTGCAATATGAGAAACCCTTTGATTTTGAATAACAACATAGGAGCCAACCATTAGACATGATAGCAACATAGATGAAACCATAACATGGATAGGATATCAACAAATCAGGACTAAAACACTCAAAACGTGCTAGGTCAAGCTCACTATCTAGCCACACACACAGATTTACAAATAAAAACATAAAATAGAAGCTACCACAAACAACATGGACATGATAGCAACAAAGCAGAATTCCTAAAAAACTTAAAAGGTAATAGGTCAAGCTCACTCTCCAACCATACACACAAAATCACAAACAAGAACAGGAACAATGAACAGAATCACAAGCAAGAACACAATAAAACTTGAATATAGGCCAAGGACACTGACTCGGTGACCTTGCTACCGACAAGACGGGAAAGAGACTTACATAGGTCCAGACGATAATAAGCGGCCAAAAGAGTACCAAGGGTGACTCAAGACTCAAGCCAAAATCAGCTTAAAGAAACGTTAGAAACAACAACTACAAGAAACAAAAAGTTGAGCCAAACTCAACCCGAAAATCTCGCTTTAAGAGATTTATAAAAGAAAAACCAGAAACAGCAGTAGGACTTGGATAAACCCAGGATACAGATTTGAAACAAACCTGAGAACAAAAGTACTAAGAAGATATGCAAGCGAAAAACTTACACAAGATCGATAGTTGAACAAAAAACACAGGATCTTTTGAAAGAACGAACAACAGGACAACCAGATCTAAACCAAAGAAAATATCTGAAGAAAACCTAATTGTTTGAAGCTAACAAAAGAAATAACAGAGAAACTTACCACAAGGAAATCAGATCTGGAATAGATACCTAAGAGAGCAACACAATGCCTCAGCAATATGAGAAACAAAGAACAACAACGATAAGACGCCTTAACAGAAGATGAAGAAACTAAATGTTGATCCTCTCTCTCAGTGATTTGATGATAATCCCTTTTTCCTTTCGATGTATTTTTGTGTTTCTGTACTTTCGGTTCCAGCGATCAATACACTGAGCATGTTCAGTGATCGCTGAAGAACTCGTTTTGTAATTCATTCAGAGACAATGATACTTCAAGAAAACAACACTCACACCAAAGATCCTTCAGCAAACGTCAAAGACTGAAACTGAAGATTAGAGACTGGCGCGTACGTGAT